AAAAAAAAACTCGCATTCATCCGAGAAACTACTATTACTACTTCTACTACTACGCCCGTATTATTATTATTATCATCATTCGCAACGTCTCGTAAATAATAATAATAATAACTTTTTTTCCTTCTTACGTCATTAATAATTTAATTTACCTTAACCGACGGTGTGCATATATTAAAATTTTTTTCATTGTCGCGTTGTCTCCTTCCTTTTTTTAAAAACCACGCTTTTAATCTTTTTATTTTCACGTACGAATATAATCATTATTATCGTCCTCATTGTTGGCCTCTCCCCTCCTCTCTCCTCCCCTTCTGCCCTCGGGTACGTACCTCGAATTCGGGGCGGATTTACAGGAAAAAAAAATCAATATCAATTAACATCTCGTTAAAAATTTATTTGTTTGTACTGTTCGCGGTTTTTTTTAGGCTCCATAATTTGCAAAAATGAAGGAGGCATCGATCGATCAAATAATCAATCAATCAATCAGTCAGTCAGTCAATCGGTCGCGAATGTTTTTTTTTTTATTTAGCAAAGACTCGCGAAAAAAAAAAAAAAAAAAACTTCATCGTCGACATTCTTAAATATATTTGCATGTTGGAAAATTGAATTCGCGCGTTTTATTATTATTATTATTATTATTATTCACCATTAAACACGACAAGGCTACTTGTCGGAGTTTTTTTTAAGTATTTATCCGAGGTTTCTACCCGATTCCTTAGGGACAAATACTCGAATTTCGGTGGTGCCACTTATTATAAGATAGCACCACATCAATTCTTGAAGGTCTTCCTGAGTCCGTCTTTTTCGATGGGAACGATTTGTCTCCTGAACTGGGCTCCGGTGACTAACATCTTTGGAGTGGCCAGGGTCAGAAGCAGTGAAATTCACGTTCTCGTCGAGCTGCCTCAGGTCGACAGTAGAACAAGATTTTGTTTTTGGTTCTTACTTTGTCTTGTTCTCATTTTTTTTTTTTTCTCTTTTTAAGCCAACAGCACGTGGCGTTCTCAAACGGTCACCCATCCAAGTTTGCACCACGCCTTATTATTATTATTATTATTATTATTATTATTAACTGATTAAAAATAAGTAAAAAAAATATATATTAATAAATTCCATTTGGGGAGAAAGAAAGGAAGGGAGGAAAAAAAAGGCGCGTGGGCAAATAAAAATTAAATGGAAAGTTTTCAGCAAGAGAGAGAGAAAGAGGGAAAGAGAGAGAGAGAGGATAAAATATTATATATATAAATATAAATATTTATTTGGCTTGAATGTTGTTTGTTGTGGGCGAACGAAAAAATATGTTAACCGAGTTGTCGTTTGTTTGTTTGTTTTTTTTTTTTTCATAAAAAAAAAAAAAAAAAAATTTTCCTGACCTACGAACGAATCCTCGCAAATCCCGTAATGGCAGCAAAATTTATTTTTCATTTTTTTTTTTTTTTTTTTTTTTAACTCGTGTCGTTGATATTTTTATTATTATTATTTTTTTTTGCGGTGGCTCAAAGCCCGTCGTGGGCTGTGAATGTGAAGAGAAAGAAGAGGTGGCGTAAAAGGGGGGGGAAGCAACAAAAGCATCGCGAATTTAATCGAAATTCAGTTTAATAAATAAAATCGTTTTTCTTTCCAGTTTGTTTTATTATCATTATCATCATTATCATTATCATTATTATTATTATTTCGTAGAATTCCAAATTCGTCGGAAATGATTTTTTTTTTCGTCCAAAATAATAATAATAAAAAAAAAACTGTTAGTTTATATTTAATCGAGTGTGATTCATCTCAAGTCTCATTCGAGGTTTTGTGTGTGCGGGTGTGGGGGGGCCTTGGGGGGGTGCGGGAGCGCGTGTTTTCGCGTGATTCACAGAATTTGTGTGAGTAACGTCACGAAAGGCTAAAAACAGAAAAAAAAATTTTATTTATGGACGAATGAATAACTTTTTTCAAAAAAAATTGTCATTTCAGGGAAGTAAAAATAATCCGGGGAAAGGGGAATGGGGTCGAGGGTTACCGAAGGGGTGAAAAGTTTATTCGTTAGTCATTCATCCCCCTTCCCCGATAGAATAACAATATTAAATATGCTCCTTCCGGTTTTTCCATTCCTTTTTTTCATTCCTCTCAAAGTTCGTTCTGAAAGATGAAAGGCAGGAGTGTCAGGAGAGCCGTCGGGGGGAGAGGCAACACAATATAGTCATTTAGTAATATAGTAGTAGTAGTAGTAGTAGAGCGTACGTGGAAGTAGAAAAAAAAAAAAAGGTTCAACAAACTCTCGCTCGTAGAGACTTTAAGTCCCTTTAATCTATTCTAATCCTTTTTGATTATGTAATTGAGTCCGTGGCCTGGTTCGTATGCTTGGTGTCAACGACTTTTGTAATCTAAAAAAAAAATAAAAAAAATTTGTGCGCTCTCGTATTTATATATACGTAAGTGTGAGAGAGAGAGAAAGAGTTCCTTGCATGCACACACACACACACACACACACTCTCTCTCACTCTCTCACTCTCAAATCTAATATTATGAAAACGCAAAAAAATGTTTGTTATCGTTAAATTATTCTTTATGTGGATTGACCTACAGTAAAAAAATTTTTTTCTTCCTGTTTGATGAGTTATAATTAATTGCGGTTTTTTACAAAACACGCACACGCACACACGCACAATTTGTTCTTTTTTAAATTATTATTATTTATTATCATTTTAAAAAAAAAAAACAAATGACGCCATAATTGATTGATAATTTGCAAACAAATCGATTTTTTTTTTTTTTTATATCGAACGATTATATTGCGATCTAAATAAATTTTGTTTGTCGTTTGTTGTTTGTTTACTTTACGTAAATTAGGATTTAATTGGGTTTGAATTTGCGTTTCCGGTTTTGCAAAAGGTTCTATCTTTTTCTCGAGTGTATTATCATTCGTTGAACCTTTTATTTCTTTCAAAATGTTTTCGAATTCTTTAGAAAAAAATTTATTTTATTGAGGGGATTCCCAGTTTTTTTCTTGTTGTACGAAAACGATCGTTAACCGATTCATGCGTAATTCGGGTTCATTGCCTTCCATTTGCAAAAAAAATTCTAATTAATCAACGTGGAATTCTCTCTCTCTCTCTTTCTCTTTCTATCCTTTTCTTTCGTTCTTCCCCCCCTGTGTTGAGAAGAATGACTCGTCAGGTTTTTTTTTGTTTTTAACAAAACGACAGAATAGAAACGTAAAAAAGAAAACAAATAGGAAGTGCAAAGACCTTAAAATAATAATAATAACAAAAAAAAAAAAAACGGGAGCGGAGGGTGAAGGAAGGAGGAGGAGAAGGGGAGAGAGGAGAGAGAGAGAGCCTAAAATCGGGTTGAACGAAATGTGCTAATGAGTCCATCGTCGTCATTTGTGACGTCATCGCGCAAAATGGATCCCCTTTAAATTGCAAGAGTTTTTTTTTTCTCTCTTTCCTCCTAGCTAGCTAGCACAACCGCAAAAAATACTATAAAATAGTTAGGGAAGGGAAGGGAGAGATGAGGGGAGGGAGGGGGAAAAGGGTCGCCGCGAAAGGTTAAGCGTAATAATAATAATAATAATAATAATAATAATAATTTGGCGGCAAGTGTGACGAGAGAGATGGGTTTTTTCGTACGTTACTCTCACTTTCTATTGAAATGACCTCGTGTCTTACTATCATCCACAATAAGTAAATTTCATTTCGTTTTTCATGGTTACAAAAAAAAAAAGAAAGAAAAAGATAGAAAGAAAAAATTTTAAAATTTTCGTCGGTTGTTCCTTTTTAACATTTCAGGTTCGCATTTAGGTTTACGTTATGAACCCGTAGAATACGTCAATGTAAAATGGAATCGAGCGGATTTTCTCTCTCTCCTCCTCTCTCCTTCTCTCTCTCTTTTTTCTTTTTAAATTCAATGGCTTTTTAACTGTACATTAGTTGAACGACCGGTAATTGGGTCAGCCAGTCCCGAGGTCGTTCAACTTTTTTAGTTTGTCTACAATAACGTAATATTCAGTTAGTCGGAGTTTAGTCGTTATAACGTTCACTCTGAAAAATTCGGAAAATAATTTATTATTATTATTATTTTAAATAAATATTATTATTATTATTATTAAACTACACTTTTTTAGTTTTTTATTAGTTACAAAAAAAAAAAAAAAAAATTTAGTTATTCGCGGGTGATTTTTTTTTGGGAGGTTTAATTTTTTTTTTTTTTTGTGAATTTTTTTTTTCTTATTTTTTAAAAAATTTAAATTCGGTTGTTGTTATTATCATTATTATTATTATCATTATTACTGTCGCATATAGAAAACTATGGTTTAATTATAAAAATAAATAAATGGCCATTTTATTAAATGACGGATTAAATACAAGTTTGAGTGTGAATCATTCATTATTATTAATCAAAAGGGATTATTATACTCACGTGAGAGGAGACCTCGTCATACCTCGTCGTATGGTCGAAAATATTAATAATAATAATGATGGTGATAAGGTTGAAGGAATGAGAAAAAGGTTGACGAACATTAGGAGAAAAATGAGAAACGAAACGATGCAGGAGAATCGTTTTCCAAACAACGAATTTCAAAATCTTTCATTAGATGAAAAAAAGGGGGCGAGTAGAACCACCAGCAGCAGCAGCAGCAGCGGTGACGAAGGTGACAGATCGTCATCGTCGTCATCGAGCGACGATGAAAAATGTCCACACGAATTCTGTGATAACGATTACGATTATGATGTTGATGATGGTGAAAACGAAGGTTCAGGTTCATTTTGTGATTTTCTTACGGAAGAATGCGTCGTTGAAAGTTTATCGGAAAATGTCGCGCGTTCTCACGATCAGGTTCGAAAATAGTTCGATGATTGTTTGTTTGTTTGTTTGTTGAGTCGTCGACGAACGCACGAACGCTTTTTACTATTCATGAAAATAACGAACGGTTTTTCTCTTTTCTTTCGCAGGGATTTTTTAGACGAAGCATACAACAGAAAATTCAATACAGACCCTGTACGAAAAATCAACAATGCTCCATATTGAGAATAAATAGAAATAGATGTCAATATTGTCGATTAAAAAAATGCATCGCCGTCGGAATGAGTCGAGATGGTAAGTTTATTATTATCATTATTATTATTACTAACGTCTGGAATTCTTGCTGGAGAACGTGAGGAGAGGAATAATAACAAAAAAGAAAAATAATTCGAGTCTTATGCAAGTGAACGCCACCTGGCAAAACCCTTGGCAAAATCGATCTTATCAATAGAAACCTTTTTCTTTCCCCTTTTACACCCCTCCCCCCGTCTTCTCTATTAAAATCGTGATAAGAAATCATCCGACGTTACGTTATTATTATTATTATTAATACAATTTGATAAAACGTAATTTAAGATAAAAAAAAATAATCATCATCGAGTCGTCTACTTGACCAAAATTTTTTTTTTTCGCTCGTTTTTCAAGTGTTTGTTTTTTTTTTCTCTCTCTCTTTTGGTTGTTGTTGTTTGTCGCGAAAAAAGTTCATAAAAGAATGAAAGATTTTTAAGGCGGGAAAATTTAATCAATGCGGTAAGAAGATTGATAATAATAATAAATGAAATGAAAAGGAATAAAATTAACGTCGTTTGTTATGCAAGAGAAAACCGGGCGGTAGCAACAATGGTGGTGGTGGTAGTGGTAGCGGTAGTAGTTGTGACCAACTACTTCTACTTCTTGTTAAATACCTCCTCGGGTATTTTTTTAAAACGTAACTTTATTATTATTATTATTATTATTTTCTCTCATTTTTTTTTAATTGTTTTCGCGTGAAATCAATTGCGAAAAAAAAAATTTACGTTTTGTTTGTTTGTTTGCGTTGCGAATGATTTTAGGGAGTGGGAGGGTGGCTGAATGGCGGGTTAGTGGAATTTTTCTAAGGTTATCCCAAGGAGGGAGGGGGGGGTAGAGAAAAAAGGTCAACGCACGGATGAAAAGGGAAGGGGGGAAGGAGAAACGAAACTTTTTTTTAAAATAACCATTAGAAATGAAAATATAAATAAATAAATATTTAAAAAAACGGGAATGATGATGATGATGATGATAGGAGAAAGAAAGAAAAGAGAAAAGAGAAAAGAGAAAAAGCAACAAGAGAGGTCGCGAACTAGTTTCAAGTGTCGAAAAAGTTCAAACGAGTTCGTCGACCCAAGAACGAAATCTCAAGTAGGTCGTGACAAAACACTATTTGTGAAATAGATTATAAGATATGAAAGTTGTTTGAAACTGCAGTTGTTGTTGTTGTTGTTGTTTGTTTGTTATTTTTTTGTTTGTTGCATAATGACAAATTAAAAAATTGCACCTTGAATTGTTAAGCTAAACACGTAGACGCGCACTCACCGCGCAGTTGGTGAGTGAAATGGTTTCTCGCGGAGTTCGGAGGCTGAGGTCAACTGCATAAAACCAATTTTGCCTTTTTTTTTTTCTTAATAAGTTTATTTCTCTCTCTCTCTCTCTCTCTCTCTCTCTCTCTCTCTCTCTCTCTCTCTCTTATTCCCTTTCTCTCTCTCTCTCACGTTATCGTTGTCTTTGTTTCGTTTTTCTTTCTCTTTTTCTCGGGTATATTTCGGATCGAGGTTATAAATTTACGAACGTTAATCAAATTTTTTTTCTCCTTTTTTTTATTTATCATTATCATTTATTTATTTATTTAATTAATTTTTTTTATGTACGTGCGTAACGTTGGAAAACGGTTAATTTGTCATTGACAGTTTTTTTTCCCGCACGGCTCTCAGTATTATTATTATTATTAATAATAATTTACAAAGCCTTTCTCTTCCATATTTGGATAAGGTAGTAGAAGAAAAAAAAAAAAAATGTAAGGAGGAAGAAGAAGAAGAAGGTGAAGTAGTAGAGAGTTTGACGAATGGCCAAAAAGAGAGAGAGAGATAGAGATAGAGTCGGATCGGGATAGGAGGAGGTGGAGGAGGAGGATAGAAAAGTTCATTAAATAAAATTGCTTTATATTCAATATTTTAAATTGAAAAATTTTATAACATCCCTGACCCACTAACTTGTTTGTTCGTTCGACCATAAAATGTAGTAATGCTAATGCTAATAATAATAATAATAATACCAATGTCGAGAATAAGATAAATATATATATAAAGAGAGTGAAAGAGAAAATGAGTGAGCGAGTGAGAGAGAAAGAGAGAATTTTCAATCTTTGCCAAAAAAAATAAATAATAATGATTTTCTTCTTCTTCTTTGTCGTCGTCAATAAATCTTATTAAATCAAATCGTCGTCACGTATCAAAAAAAAAAAATTATGTATTTATTAATTAATTAATTAATAATTATTCAATTTCTATTATTTAATTCTCGTAACCATCATCATCATCATTATCATAACCGTCAAAATTTATTTTTTTTTTTTTTATAAGCGAATGAGAATTTTATTTAAAAACGACGTTATCGTTGTTTCTTTTCCGTTATTAATATTATTATTATTATTTTGTGTACTAACTGTCTTCTGCTTTTTCCATTCCATTCCCCATAACGTTTCCCGCACTTTTGTTCGTTTGTTTGTTTGTTTATATGGGTTAAATCTATATAAAAATTCTGTCGAAATAATTTTTTTTTCGACTTGCACAACCGATTAAATGTTGTTGTTAATGTTGCACTTGTCTTCGATTCGATTATTATTATTATTATTATTATTATTATTATTATTATTATTATTAGTTTTGTAAAGAGGGAGGTAAAAAAAAGGGTGGTTAAAAACGTACAAACGTGTGTTTTGATTGAAGTAAGAGAGAGAGAGAGGAAGGAAGGAAGAACATAATTTTTTTGTTGGTAAATTTCGAGTGTTATCATCATCATCATTATCGTTATCATGACGAGAGAGAGTAAAAAAAAAAAAAGTTTTTTTTTCACGTGTTTCTCTCTCTCTCTCTCTCTCTCTCTCTCTTTTGATTTGTCGAGAGTAGGAAGAAAAAGAAGAAGAAAGATTGTGTTGCCACCGTTTTGACAGTTACTTAACATTGTGAAGGTGATTGAACTGAGTTCGTTAACCTAACCTCAAAAGCAATGAAAGAAAGGGAAAGTGGTTAACGAGTTCAATGACTTTCAAATATTTTTCTCTCTCTCTCTCTCTTTTGTTTTTTTTTTTTTAAATGATCTTTCTCTCTTTCTCTCTTTTGGTGTTGTTGTTGTTGTTGCCAAGTGAGAAGAAAAGTAAAAATTTATTAAACTACAAAAAAAAAAAAAACTCTCTTTTATTATTATTATTTTCTCTACTTTTCATTATTCTTTAAATGGTTATAATAATAATAATAATAATAATAATATAATTTGAAGTGTCTGAGAGTGAGAGAAAGAAAGAGAGAATAGATTGTGACGTTAAATAATAATAATAATGTTCTCTATAATCGTATGATTGTCGTTTGTTTTTTTTCTTCTCTCCTTATTTTTTCAATTTATTATCGTTTCTCTTCGTTATTTATTTATTTATTTATTTAAATAAAAGATGGAATCGTCGCGATAGGTTTTTGTCCCAGTTTTTACATATATAATAATAATAATAAAATGAGGCAGTGTATTGACCCTTTCGCAATGGTTTTTCCCTACGCGTTTTTTTTTTTTTTTTTTTTCGTCTATCTAATTCACCTAAAGGCATTTAATTTAATTTAATTTTTAAATGATTGTTTTTTAAAGCTTTCACTCAGCTGTTTGTTCGGGCGTTTAAACGGTTGTTTGTTTGTTTTTGTACGTTTAAGGAAGTTTGAAAAACTTTTTTTTTTTCTCTTCAAATCATTTACATGACTAAAGTTTTAATCATTTATATTCATATTATCATTATTATTATAGTTTACGGTTGTCGCAGTAGTCAAAAAAGCAGAAGAAAGTTTTTTTTAAAAAAAAAAAAAGAAGTTTAAAAAGTTTGGGGGGAAAAAAAACCCGCGAAAATATTTTTTTAAAAATTCTTTTTCTCGATTTCTGAACGCGCAATCGCTCATACGTCATCAATGCGTGTTCTCTTTACACTGTCACACTCTAGCGGAATTTGTTTGAACTACGTTGTCAATTAAACCCGTTTTAACGCTGAGATTAAAATATTTCAACGCTCGCCCGACGTCCTTCTCCTCCTCTACTCTACAATCTTTTTATCAGAGAACGCGTTTTTCTTTTGATTATTATTAAGTGAAAATTATGGTTGCGACATTCATTATTTCATTGGATTTTATTTCAAGGTTGTTTGTTTGTTTGTTTTTTACATTTTTCGTATTAAAAAAAAAAATAGAATGGAAAAGGCACAGGCGCAAAAAAGAGAAAAATGCTGAACGAATTCGATTTAAACGCGCCATTTTTTTTTTTTTTTTTTTTTTTTTAACATTTCCCGACTTTTGGTGCCATTGAAAAATTGCTTCGCCTTGTAAATTTTTTTTTTTTTTTATTCGTCGCACCTTTCGTCGTCGTCCTCGTCGTCTCCCCTTAAAAATTCGCACGATGCAAATTTTTTTTTAATATTTCGGAAAACTCCGACACGCCGCCATTCGTTCATCCTCCATTCGAAAAAAAAAATTATTAATTATTCATCATCGAAAATTGTAAGAAACGTATTTTTCACTACGTTTACGTTATAATTACCGATCGTCTTTTTATAAAAAAAAAAAAAAAAAAAAAAGAAAAAATTTGTCGCGAGCTTTTCCTTCGTTTTTTTTAAACTTTGAAAGAATCGTAAAAAGATTTTGATTTAAATAGTTTAAACATGGTTCGAATAATTCAATTTACGTTACGTTAAACGTTTGCCGGTCGTTTGTACGTAAGCTAAACAAAGGCGGTGAAATTAGCGAGTTCGATCCTTGTTGTAGGCTTTGCCAAGTTCAAGGGCACAACAACGAAAAACAACGAAGTGGGAGAGAGAGAGAGAGAGAAAAAAAAAGTGGGGGTAACCTGACTTATTGGTGGGGAGACGAAAACATTCACACACACATACAAACTCTTGGTTCGTTCATGTCGGTCTTCTCTCTCTCTCTATATATCTATCTCTCTCTCTCTCGTTTTAATTTTTTTTTTTTTTGTTTTCTTCTCTCTCGCGTGCGTTTGAATCTCAATTGCGGGGTTGCAACTGTCGAACGCGGTACGCTGCGGTAGTTATAGTTACGTAGCCCAGAGTTTTTCTTTATTAATAATAATAATAAAAGTGCGTGAGCGTTCGTGCGTTCGTGATTTCGGTGCGTTTTTTTTTTGTTATCATTATTATTAAAAAATTAACGATAAAATTATTATTATTAATATTAATATTTTTGTGTTTTTGTACGCGCGCGCGTTTTTTTTTTTCCCTCTACTCCAGTTTACCACAAGTTTTAATTAAATGGAAAATTTAAATTTTTCACGTTTCGTTTTCTGGATTTCCAGTTGAAATTTTTCTTCTGTTTTGAAAATGTTTGGGATTATTATTATTATTATTAACATACATTTTGATAAGTTGTTGTGATGTGAGTGTCCTGAAAAGTGAAATTGTTTCGTTTCGTTTTGTGAAAAAACGTTTTTTTATATTATCAACCCCCCGTGCGACGCTTTTCCGGATTACTATTATTATTATCATCATCACAAAAGGGATAATTTATGTTATATTATATATAAATGGGAAAATTAAAAATGGGAGACGAATTGCCCATACTCAAAGGGATTTTAAATGGCGTCGTCAATTATCACAATGCACGTAGGTATCAATTGTCCTTTTTTTGGACGGGGGGAGGGAGTGCAATACCCTTATGTCTGTCTGTCGTTTGTTTGTTGCAAGGGAAAAGGAGGAGAATGATGTCGTTTTCTCGTCAAGTTTAACAGTGTGAAACGGTTGTAAGAGGATATATGTACGATGATGATGATGATGGTGTCGGAGTAGTACCATCGAGAGAAAGAACACAAAAAAAAGGTGAAGGGCATTCGTGTGGTGGTAGTAGAGGTAGTGGCAGTAGTAGCAGTCGTTGATATCAAGGCCTAGAGAATCACTTTCTATCTCAATCGTCATAAGGCAAACATTGGTTTTTGATTATTTCGTCTTGTCGCGCGTGAAAGTAACCGTTTTGTGTGCGTGTGTGCGTGCGTGTGTGTGTTGTTATGGTGTTTGCTTTAATTTCTCTTTTATGTTCTCATCTTGGTCGAATTCGTTTCAAGTATTTTTATTAACATCATCATCATCATCGCTATCACCTATACTCGTAGTCGTCATCATCGTCAATTAAAATGCCACTCGCGATTGTTTTGTTTTCCAAAAAAAGAATTTTTTCTATACGTCGAATATTGTCAGGTTAAACAAATTTTAAGTCATCATTATTATTATTATTATTATTTCGTTCGGTCTATTTAATATTATTATTATTAATTTTAGAGAAAGGTCAATCGTGAGGGATTTTAGAGCGCCGCCCGCAAATGAAAGAGAAACACAACATGTTTTGACAAACTTGATCCACTTTTCTTTTTTTTTTTTAAGTTTGAAGGAATTTTCTATAATTTAAAAGTGTGTAAAATGAAACGTATGTAAAGAACAAACGACAAACGACAATATAACAAACAAACAAACACGCGGAAAAACAATTAACAATCTTTTTTCGATAAATTTATGAATTTTTTTTTTTTTTTTATTTAATTAACCTTGCGTTGTGTGTAAAAAGATGAAGTTTTTTTTTTTTTTTTTTTTTTATGTTGTCAACCTTGGCAATATGGTAAGGGAATCAGGAAATGACGATTCGGCGGTGGCGGCGGTGGCAGAGATTATGACTGTCGGGTCGTAGGTGCGATTGTAATAGGTCTCGGGTTCCTTTTTCTTGGTTCTTTCTCGGTTCCTTTTTTTTTTTTTTTCTGACACAACCGAAGGTGGTTTACTTAGTTGTAAAAGGTGAGGTAAAAGGAATTAATTAAAATAATGACTAACGGTCACACGATTGTGTCTTATTCATCCCGAGTGTGAGTATCCTTGATTGCTAACAAGAGAGGGTTAAGTTGAATGTCACAAAGAGGCAGGCAGACACAAAAGAAAAAGAAAAAGAACGTTGGCTTGTTCTTTTGTTGTTCTCGCACTCACATAACGTTGAGAGAGAAAGAGAGATGGGGAAAAAAACGGTAAAAAGCCACCTAACTCCGTGAGATGTGACGGTTGGTGGTGGTGGTGATGACGGCGGTTGTTGTTATAAACGGTCTCGACTATTTAGCAGCAGCAGCAGCACCACCACCCGATCCGATAAATATATAGGCACCTAACGATTATATATATAAAAAATTTTTTTTTCCTTTTGGAGGGGAATGTAACGGGGTCGTCGTTAATTTGGACAGCTGCGTACTCGCGGCACGCACGCACGCACGCACGCACGAGGGCAGATGTTTTGTTGTTGTTGGCTCTCACTTTTTTGTTTTTTTTTTGTTTTTTTTTTTTAATGCTCTCGTCTTGTGTGCTTCGGTTCCTCTACCGCGATTATAGTAATTGTAGTAATAGTTTGCATTAGGCATGCACCTGGCCTCTTCCTCTTTCTCCGTCTTCTTCTCCCTCTACCTTCTTGTGACAAATAACCGATTTTTTTTGCGGTTAGCGAACGTCGACCGATCGACCGATCCATTGACGTCATAAAAACGTATTTTTGGTAGATAATTTTCGTTTTTTTTTTTGTCTTTTGTTATTGGCATTTCCATTGTTGTTTGTTCCATTGATCACATCCTTTGCGAGAATTTAAATCCGCGTTTCGTTCTCGTTTTCTACATTTTCTACCCAAAAAAAATTCTCTTTTCCCTTTCGAATTTTTTTTTTTTTTTTACTCGAAATCAAGTTTTTTTTTTCTTTTGCTAAAATAAATTTACGCGTTGATAAATGTTTTTTTTTTGTTTCTCTTCTTTTTACAACAAGCAACTCTCGATCGTTCTAGAAAAAAAAAAAAATTAAATGAAATGAAGTGAAAAAAAAAAAAAAAAAATGGTTTTGATTAAAGGCGTGGGTGAAATTCAGGTTAGAGTTTGTGATAACTTTCACTTGCATCAGACTTGAAATTTTAATTTTAATGTTTTTTTATTTCGGTTGTTGTTTGTTTGTGTTTGTGTTTGTATGATAGCCGAGTGGTTGGCGTGTGATTATTATTATTATTAGGTTTTAATGACCTTTTTTTTTGTTTAATTTCAGCTGTGAGATTCGGCCGGGTACCCAAGAGAGAAAAGGCTCGGATTCTTGCGGCCATGCAACAAAGTACTAATTCGAGATCTCAAGAAAAAGCCGTGGCCGCAGAATTGGAAGACGAGCAAAGGTTGTTGGGTACGGTTATAAGGGCTCATTTGGACACGTGCGATTTTACAAAGGATAAAATCGAGCCGATGATTGCGAGAGCTCGAGAACAACCATCGTATACGGCTTGTCCGCCAACTTTGGTGAGTTTTCCTTTTTTTCTTTTCTTTTTTCCATTTTCTTTTCGCGAAAAACGGAATCAAACGCAAAAGAGAGACAGACAGAGAGAGAGTGTGAGAGAGAAAGAGAGAGTGAGTGAGAGAGAGATTGCAGAGTGTGTTTACGGACGTGGAAAAAAAAGTAAAAAAAATTTTATCATAGTTATTTTTTTTATTATTATTGAAACGACAATGATAATAATAATAATAATAATAATAATAATAATAATAATAATAATGTTGTGATAACGCATATCGTTGCAAATTTTTTATTTAAAAGCGCATGACAAATATCGATTAAATAAAATAAAGATAGAAAGAGAAAAAATAGAAGTTTCGTTGCCGGCAAGGTCAGAAAATGACTTTGATTCGACATGAAGGAAAACCAGTTAACCGTTTACCGGCCATTATAATAGTTCGGGTTGATTTTTTTTTTTTCTTTTTTTTTTTTCCTCACCGTCCCGTCTGGTTGTTGTTTGTTGTTGTTGTTGTTGTCATGTTCAACTTTTTCTTCCTGGCGATCAGGTTTCAATTTGATTTAAAAAAAAAAAAAAAAAAGTCGATTTCATTGGTAGGCCCGAGGATATTTAACGGTTTTGTTGCAAAAAAAAAAAAATAATTTGATCGATTATATTGATTTTCTTATCTTCTTCTTCTTCTTCTTCTCCTCCTTCTTTATTATCTTTTGTGTTTTACATTTAAACTTTCCGAAAAATTTTCCGGGAAAATCTTCGGTGTTAGTTGTTTAAAAAAAACGAAACAAACGACACGAACGTCCTCAATCATCGATCAACGATTATTGTCACTCCATGAGAAAAAGAAAAAAAAAATTTAAATGAATAAAAAGAAGGAGAAGAACACGCGCACACGCATACACGCACACACACACACGCACAAGGACTTTTGGTTTTTATTGTCTCAAACCGTTTTTTTTTTTTTTTTTTTTGTCGTTCGGGGTGACCTTAAATATTAAATTTGCATTGAAATCTTTGATATCTCCTCGTTCGTTCGTTCGTTCGTTACGAAGGTGACACATTATATATATTGTTGTTGACACTACGTGTGCGTACGTGCGTGAGTGCGTGCGTGCATTTAATCACCGACCCTTTGATCGTTTGATTGAATTTATAGATTTTTTTCTTCTCTAAGGTCTTCATCTTTTCGGTGGCGGCTTATTTGTATCGAAAGAGTCGATTTTTTTTTCTCCCCCCTTCTTTAAAACCTTGAAATTTGTATGAAGGGGGGGATGTGGTAGTAGTATATCGCGTACTACCTTCTTCCGCTTGACTTTATAAAAATTCTCGTTTTTTCTCCCTTTTTAACGCACTTGCACACACGCACGTCGCGTTTGCCTTTTGTTTTTTTAATATATTATTCAATAAAATAATTTCAAGGATTAATTTAATAAAAAAAAACGAAAAAAAAAAAAACCGCAGGAAGTGTGGTTAAGTGGGCACGGTGAAGACAAACACACACGCACACACACACGCATCATTGTCTCTCTCTTTCACTCTCTCTCTTTTCGTATGTGTAGTTTTCGGAGGGGTTCGAAATGTTGTTAACCATTAATTCCAAAAGGAATCGAAGTTTACAAAAATTTCAAAGTAGAAATGGAGGGAGGGGAATGTTTGTGAGTGTCCGAAGGAGTGGGAAAGGGAAAAATAACGATAATAATAATAATATTAATAATAATAATAATTTCGACTGGGAAAATACGCGGGAATGAAAAACGGATTAAAAAAAAAAAAAAATCGATGAAACGCGTTCTCGCAATGTTACATCACATCTCTATCGTTTTTTTTTTTTTTCAAGGTTGCACGAATAATAATAATGATAATATTCGTAGTAGTAATAATAATAATAATAATGATGATAATAATAATAATGCTAATGTTGTCTGCTTTGACGGTCGTATTTCATTTCAAGCTTCCTTGTTTATTCGTAATTAACAACAAGGTGCCCGAGACTTGCACAACAATTTTTTTTTTTTTCGCGCGCGACATTTTTTTTTTTTTTTTTTTTTTTTTTTTTTTTTTGGTTTTGTTCTTTGTCTTTTCGAACTTGCATCGATAATTTATTGTAAAATAAAAAAAAATGATGAATGTAGTAAAAATAAAATTTTATGATGTCGACGAAGACGACGATGACGACGACAACGACGATCTTGACACAGTTTTTTTCGAAAAATAAAATAAAATAAAATAAAATAAAAAGACTAGGAAGTCGCTCGTTCTTTTTTTTCTTTTTTTTTTTACACGACGTTTCGAGGAAAAGTTTAAAAAAAAGACAAAACGTAGAAGAGTGAGAGAGAGAAGGAGACAGACGAAGAAAAAAGAAATTTCTGGATTTTTTTTTTATAATGAGAGACTGAAAACGAAAAAGTTTTTGGAATGTTTTAAATGGAATTATTATTATTATTATTGTTACGTGAGTGTTTGTGTGTGTGTGTGTGTTTTGGTTCGAAAAGACGATGATTTTATTATTATTATTATTATTGTTTTATATGCTCCGGACCAGCACATAGTCTGACCGCGGTAAGGTCAACGTGCGCACGTGGAGTCATTGAACCCGCTTTTTTCCCCTCTTTATAAACGACATGTTGTGCGTGTGCGTGTGTGTGTGTGTGTGTAGTAGTTGCAGAGAAGCACACACACACATACAAAAGATCAGACCAAATCAACTTTACCTTTTTTTTTTTTTTTATAACCCTTTTTGTTCGTGTGAATTTTTTTCGGCGTCATTCGCATTATTATTATTATTATTTAAAATGTTTTTATGTCTTGTACGCATTCCAAGAATGATTGAAGCTCCGTCGATTTTATTCCCGTTTTAATTTAATTTTTTTTTTTTTGATTTTGTCGTTGCAGGCGTGTCCGTTGAATCCAAATCCTCAGCCATTGTCGGGTCAACAGGAACTTCTCCAAGACTTTTCAAAAAGGTTTTCACCGGCCATAAGAGGCGTCGTAGAGTTCGCCAAAAGAATACCAGGTTTTTCCCTGTTACCTCAGGACGACCAAGTAACTTTACTCAAAGCCGGAGTTTTTGAAGTGTTACTAGTGCGTTTGGCTTGCATGTTCGATTCCCAGAGTAACAGCATGATTTGTTTAAATGGTCAAGTTTTAAAAAAGGAATCCATTCATAATACTTCGAACGCGCGGTTTTTAATGGATTCGATGTTTGATTTCGCCGAAAGGATAAATTCCCTTGGATTATCCGACGCCGAAATTGGATTGTTTTGTTCGGTAGTGGTTATAGCCGCCGACAGGCCCGGTCTTAGAAATACGGATTTAATCGAAAGAATGCACAATAAACTACGAAACTCTTTACAAGCGGTAGTGACGCAAAATCACCCGGGTCATACTGATATCTGTAATGAATTAATGAAGAAAATTCCAGATCTGAGGACACTGAACACGTTACATTCTGAAAAATTATTAGCTTTTAAAATGACTGAGCAACAACAATTGCAGCAACAGCAGCAATTGCAACAGCAGGAAATGTGGACGGAAGAAGAAGTTCACAGCAAGAGTCCGGCGGGTTCATCTTGGTCTTCGTCGAGCGACGTGACCATGGACGAGGCCGTGAAAAGTCCATTGGGATCCGTGTCGAGCACGGAATCCGTGTGCTCAGGAGAAGTGGCAGCGATTACCGATCATCAGGGAGGACCCGCCAGCACGGCACCTTTGCTGGCGGCCACTCTTGCCGGTGGAATATGCCCTCATCGCCATCGTGCAAACTCCGGTTCAACTTCCGGCGACGATGATATAATGGGAAGTCATTTATTGCAAAACGGTTTGACAATCACCGCCGTGAATAATCCATCTAAATCGTATAATCAGTCACACAGGTTTCATAGAAAGTTAGACTCTCCTAGTGATTCAGGTATCGAATCGGGTACTGAAAAAATTGATAAAGTTACAAACAGTGTGAACAGTGCGCCAACATCCTTATGTTCGAGTCCGAGGTCGTCTCTAGAGGATAAAGATGAAGATAAACAGCACACTCACATCGTAGAGGACATGCCCGTGCTAAAGCGCGTTCTACAAGCTCCACCGCTTTACGATACGAATTCACTGATGGACGAGGCGTACAAACCGCATAAAAAATTCAGAGCTCTTAGAAATAAAGATTCCGCAGAAGCTGAGCCTATGATCGTCGTATCTCCCGTCCCCTCAGTTAATTCTTCTGAACATCACTCCTCGACTCAACTTCATCGCCATTTGACGGCGACAACATCCGCACCACCTTCCCTAACCGGTTCTCATCATTCTCTATCAAGTTCCATGGTCTCACCCCTATCGTCGTCCAATACCACGTTGGCGTCTACCCTAAACTCCTCGAACCAAACGTTAGGCTCTTCGCTATCATCGACGCACTCGACGCTAGCCAAATCATTGATGGAAGGTCCCAGGATGACCGCAGAGCAAGTCAAAAGACAAGAGATAATACACAATTACATCATGAGAGGAGATCCTCCGGCAGAATTCAATCAATCATCATCATCCAGTTCTTGCCCCGCGCCGAGACCAAATAATAATAATTTATTAAACTGCGGCGGGAACTGGTCTCAACCCCAAACCGGGTACCACTATCTTCCGACTCAACCGCAACCGAGCCGGTGGCATTCGAACGGAGCGAGCGTGATAACGACGTCTCGGCCCTTTTCGCTCACGCCTAACAGCACGAGTTCTCCGCCTCCGGTCCTTCAAAAGGCGTTAGAACAACCCAACGCCGAATTTTCCAGGATATACCTTCAACCCCAATCCCCTCACTTAGCATCTTCCTCCACCTCGCCATCTCCCATCGCGCGAAACGTTTCACCGTCCTCGTGCTCTCCCGCATCTCGATCCCCGTCCGTCGCCGGCGGTCCTCAAATGACTCTGCCATCTCCTAAAATGATGGAACTTCAAGTCGACATAGCCGATTCGAATCAGCAACCGTTGAACTTATCGAAAAAATCTCCATCCCCCTCGCCGAGACCTTTATCGGCTCCATCTACGGCAGTTCAAAAAGCTTTAACTCTCGAAGCTTAAAGTGTTTGTTTTAAAAAAAAATAAAAAAAAAACCAAAACGCGTGCGTGCTTTTACCTGAAACTAAAACAAGAAATCTGTGTGTAAAACAAACAAACAAACAAACGATTTCAAAAAAAAAAAAAACGCGCGTTTTTTAAAAATTTTATTGTGATGAAGTTTGAAAAAAAAAAAAAAAATACCACCGACCGTGGAAATAGTACAAAGTCATTGTGGACCGGCCGTTCGTGGTACGAACAGTTAAAACAAACGTTCCTAAAAGGGAAGTAAAAAATGATAATGATGATGATGATGATGATGATAATGTTGATAATGATAATAATAATAATAATTAAATAAATAATTTACTTTAAAAAAAAAAATAAAAAAAAAAAATTGGATCTCTCTCTTTCTCTCTATCACTCTATTTTTCTATCTGTCTATCTATCTATCTAACTCTCTTTTACACACGTATTACGCGCGCGTTCTATCATCGTTTCTCGTTAAGAATATATATAAACGAAAGTAGTAAACGGATGAATGGATGGATTACATACGAGTTGCCAAGGCTAACCTTCAAACACACACTCACACACACACATATATATATATATATTACATATGTATAAAAAAACAATTATTATTATTATTATTATTATTAAAAATTATATACATAGTTGACATTTAGTGTAAAATGTGCGAGTCCGAGTGTCGTCGTCGTCGTTGTTGTTTTACTGTATACTAAAAAGTAGTAGATGATAGACGATACGCATATATGTATGCATATTTACGTGCGTGAGTGCGTGTGCATCTTCACGCATGCACGCACATATAAAACGCGTACGATGTAGAAAATGTACGGAGGATTTATTATTATTTTATTATTATTATTGTTCTTTTTTTCTCATTCATTTTCTTTTCTCTTTTGTTTTTTTTTTTTTTTTTGTGTTAAATGGGGTTTCTGCAATATGAATAATAATAATAATGATGATGATGATGATTATTTAAGTATTGATTATTAATATTATTATTATTATTATTATTATCGTTTACTAAATTTTTTTAAAAATAATTTTCTTTTTGATTGCCATCGGATTTAATGTAATGATGATGATGATAATGATGATTAACGCCCTTTGTCTTCTCTCTCCCCCCTCTTTTCTCTCTTTCTCTCTCTCTCTCTCCAACTTTTTCGTTTGATAAAAAAAAAAAAAAAAAACGAAAGAGAGAGAGAGAGACAGGAAGAAAAGCAAAAGCAGCAGCTCGAGTTTCGGTTGTTTGCACTTATTATTATTTTTATTAATTTATTACGATTAATATTATTATTATTATTATTATTATTATCAATACTATTAAATTATTATTATTATTATTTAATTTGTAATTTTTTATTGTTGTTATTATTATTATTATTATTAGTATGAATAAGAGATGATACGGTGTACGTTTGGCACTTGTAAAATTGTGTGCGAACGTGTCCGTGCGTGTGTTTTTTCTTTAGAGGGAGAAGAAAAAAAGGAAGAAAAGATAGAAAGAGAGAGAGAGAGAGAGGGAGGGGAAAAAGAGAGACAGACGATGTTTTTTTTTTTTAAATAATTCGCGCAAACGCGTGCGTGCGCGCGCGAGCCATCATTAAAAAAATTATTTTTATTTTTTAAATTATAGTCAATTTGGGGAGGGGGGGTGAAGAAAATAAAAACTTTTGGGATTTCACCCCCCACAACTCTCCCCCCGTAATAATATTATTATTATTATTAATTTGTTGATATGTGTTTAGCATTAGTCGGTTAGGTTTAGCCACTCTCTCTATCTCTCTCTCTTTCTCTTTCCATCTTTTCAATTACCATACATATGTATACACTCACACACGTATATTTATATATATATATATTATTATTATTATTATTGTTTTCTCTTTTTATTTCTTTTCAAATGTTATGTAATAGTTAATTAATAGATGATAGTGTACACTCGCGTTCCGCCATTTTGTATTTTTTTGTTGTTGTTGTTGTGGGCTGTGTTTATCGTCCCTAATTATGATTAATTTTAATTAATTAATTGAAATAATTCGCGTTTTGTTTATTATTTTGATTATTATTATCATCATTATCATTATTATCATTGTCGCATATGTATATATATGTATGTATGCGTGAAAAGAAAAAGAAAAGAATTAAGAAAAAAAGAAATTGTTTTTTTTCTTTCAACTTTTATGTAATTTTTTTTTCTTTTATTATTATTATTATTATTATTATTATTATTATTATTATTATTATTATTAATTATTATTATTATTATTGATTTTTAATTTTGTAAATAATCGGACCAAAGTTATTTTATATTTAATAATAATATAAATATATATTAAAAAAACAAAAAACAAATAATAATATAAAAAAAATAAAAAAATAATAATGATAAATAAATAAATAAATAAGTAAATAAATAAATAGAATTTGAAAAATAAATAAATGTTTGTATAATTAATTTCATTGATGATTATTTTTTTATTTATCTCGCATTGCGTGAGTGCGTAAATGCGTGTGCGAAAAAGAAAAACAATCAGAGAGAGAGAGAGAGAGAAGGAAAGAAGGAAAAAGAAGAGGAAAAATTAATTACTTCCGCCAAAAAGTTGGAATGTTTTTCTTCTCTCTCTCTCCCCCCCCCCTTTCCCTATATATTCCTTGAAATTTCCTCCATTTTCTTCTACCACTTTTTTTAAAAACTTCCTTTTCGTCGTGTCATTAATAGAAAAGCAGAAGACAAATTTTAAAAAAAATTATTTTAATTGAAATAAATAAAATGAATTTTTTTTTTTTTGATTCTTTCGCCCCGAATAAGAGAGAAAGAAAAAGAAAAAAAATTTGATTTTCTCTCTCTCTCTCTCTCTTAAGTTATCGGATTATTATTATTATCATCAACTTTATTATTAGTTAAAGTTGTTAGTTTTTGAGAAAAAAGTTTCATTACGTTTAGTTAAGAAAAAAAAAAACCTTGAATGAAATCATCGATTTAGTAGCGGTTGTTTGATAATTGATATCGCGGCGGCTAAATGACTGTGCTGACGCAGAATCTCTGCTCCCCCAATCCCCCCGGTCCCCAGTTCCTTCACCATTTTCCCCTCTGCGAAATTTTCAAAGATTATTTTTTTATGATTCGATGGAAAATTAAACGACGACGATGCTGCTGCCGTCGATTTTTATAAATCTCGTCGAAGATTCTTTTGGCGACCTTGATATGGACCATTTGAAAAAAAAATTATTTCTCACCACACTTTTTCTCCAGCGCCTCGCAGATTCTCCTGGAGAATCTAATGAAAAACTTTTGAAATGTTTGACCCAGTTTTTAATTTTTAATTTTTTGACTTTGATTCGAAAAAAAAAAATTTTAGGTCATTGAAAAAATCATAAAAATTAATCGTGTGACGACGATTCGATGATGTTGCGAGAGAGACGCGATACAGAAATTCAAAAAAAATTTTCTCCCCCTCCCCTCCTCTCCTCTCCTTCCCTCTCTCCTCCTTGTCCTTTGATAAACGTCTTCTGCTTTTTTTCTTTCTATTACTCATGTGTGTGTGTGTGTGTATGTGTAAATATCATTAATATGTTTAAAATTTTATCCGTGTAAATTCCATATATCGCAAATATGTTGATTAAGATAAGAAAAACAAACAACAGGAATAATTTGCGACCTCGACTACAGTAACAACAACAGCAGAAGCAGAAGCAACAAACATCGTAATAAAATTTTAAAATGGCGTACGAATAATAATAATAATAATAAATCGATGACGGAAAGATGAGACGCGTTTGACTTTTTTTATTTTATTAAACGGGAAGTAAAATAAAAAAATCATTCAAGGTGCGTTTTTATTATTGGACGAGAATTGAGTTTGCGTGAGAGTGCGTAAATGCGCGTTTAGGGGGCCCTTCGATTTTTTTTTGCAATTTATTATTATTATTATTATTATTATTATTTATAACGTTGATGTGTGTGTGTGTGTGTGTGTGTGTGTGTGTGTGTGTGTGTGTGTGTTATTAAACGCGTTTTCGGTATAAACCTTGAAGAGAATCTGTTTGGAAAGGTCGTTTCATTGCATTCTTAACAAAAAAAAAAAAAAAAAACCGTTATACCGAATGACCTCGCGTTTTATATCAAGTTTATTATTATTATTATTATTACGTTATTCAGGTGTGCGATTTTCTTTCTCTCTCTCTCTCTCATTCGATTCGAATCCGTTTATAATTCGCACCCGCGGTTTTTATTTTTTTTTGAATGCTTTTTCATGGTTTTTTCTCAAACCATTTTTTAAACCTTATCGAGAGAAAAAAACAGACCTCCCTCCCCTTTCCCCTCCTTCCTCCTCCTTCTCCTCCTCCCCGGATTTATTCACGTACGTTAATAAATCAGTCGTGGAAAAAGAAAATAATAAACAAACAAACAAACTAACAAACAAACCTGGATTAGATTTTTAGGGTCGACGATTAGGATCGGATTAGAAGCGAACGGAGTGAGTATGTATCGGTCGGCCTTGAGCGATTAACCTACTTGCGTATTAACACAATCCTTATTATTATTATTATTATTATCGTCGTTTATTACCGCCGTTTTTTATTATTATTATTATCGTCGTTTATTACCGCCGTTTTTTATTATTATTATTATTATTAATAATAATAATAATAATTTTTCAAAATGCGCGTGTGTACGTGTGTGAAAAATTCGATTCGATTTGTAAAAAACTTTTCCGATCGATGGAAAAAAAAAAAATTTTGGTCATGTTTAATAATAATAATAATAATAATGATAACAAAAAAATTTCGTATATATATATATATATCGTCTGCTAGAAATTTATAATAAAAAAGAACGTTTAATCAAGACAATGTGTCGTTATTGTGGGAAAAGGGGGGGCTTCATTAAAAAAACAGTTTTGAATTCTATTTAAACTCGCGAGTTATTATTAGTATTATCATTATTATCGATTGGTTTGTTGCATCATTCGAAATCCCAACCCTTTCAC